GGTCGGAAAACTCATACTCTAACCAAATTCTGAAGCATTCTCTGCCTGCACATATGGCTTCCATGCAAGGAATCATCTTTGGGTATGATTACTTCTCGGCCACTTGTCTTTTCTCTTTTTAGGAGTAGGATTAGTGTAGTCTTTCTTTTCTCTTCTCTCCCTTTAATTACGTAGTTATAGACTTTAATCTTGTAATGCTTGAACATTATGTAATTTGAACATGATTTGTATTGCGAATGTATACATTGTTCATTCTATTCATATTGTTATTTGCATGCGGGAACATTGCTTGTTTGTTTTAATCGAAGAACATTTCGAAACAAGTAGTTGCTAAGACTTTTTCATCCTACTCTCCATTCTCGGTAACACGATAACACATTAAAGCACCTAAATTGAAATACGTTCGTGTGCTAGTCTAAATAAAAAGAACCCAGGATTTGATGGTTAATTCCACCGTAAACAAAATGACAAAAGAAAAAGGTTTAGTGGCCATTATTTTTGTTTAATGTGCTCATACCCGTAGCTCTTTTCTAGGGATGGATAAAGCCTATGATTTGTTTGAAAATTTAATAAATATTTATATGGAGAAACATAAAATAAATCAAATTTTAAGTTCAAAGAATTTGTGATTTTTCTGAAAGTATCTCCAATTTCATTTTTTTTCAAAAATTAAGAGGATTTTAATTTGGTTTATTTTAATATTATGCTAGCGTTGAATAGTGAATTCAAATTAACTCTGATAATTGTTAAATGTTTTTATGAAATTATTTTATTTTAATAGTGAAGTATTAACGGAGTACAAACATGTTGCATTGTTAATTATAATTTATCCTTAGTATAAATTTTTAATTATTATAAAATAGTATGTAGATTATTTTCTCTATGTACATACAATTTTCTTTTTGATTGTGATAGCAAGTGAAACTACTATGTTTTCTATAAACTCATTTAGATTTCTATGCAATTATTTTTTCTTATGCCACGCGTGGCAAACCTATTGTATTTTCTAAGTGCGTCACTCATTTATTTTTTAAAGTCACACAGCTAATCCAATTTTTTCTCATGCTAAATAGACACTTCTTGTCCTAATTGAAGTTCTATTCATGCCCTTGCATTGGAGGCTTTGTTTTCAAAAATTAGATTGTTAGTGGATAAAGAATATTTCAATCTTGTGGCTGTACTGATTGAACTTCGACATCAGATTATTGAAAAAAATCACTCACATATGTACATTTCTTTACTTGTTAAATTCGATTCCCTTTTTGTTAAATATTATATTCTGACGTTAACATATATATTCTTTAGATAATCAATTTAAGTTGAAGTGAGCGAACGTATAATTTATTTTGCTTAATCGAGTGATTGGACTTTGAATCCTTGCTATTATAAAATATAGAAAACTCAAATTTTAAGAAAATGTCCACATATTTAATGTTTGTTTAACTTTTAAAAAAGATTGTTATTGTATTCGACAAAAAATACTCTTACATTATGAACCCAAAAAATATGTTCATATAAAAAGGGGTAAATATCATTAACGTTTATGAAACTGTGTATATAGTATTATAGTCCACGGAAGTATGAAAATTCAAAAAAAGAAGTCTAAAAGTATAAACTCTTACTCATTTTAGCTCAAAATTTCGAAAATATTAATATGCTCAAACAATTAAAATATAAAAATGATTGTAAAAAGTTTTTAAGAATTTGAATGAAATAACTAAAACTTCTAAAATTTATTTAGAATTTTCTTATTTTCATATATTGAAGTTTCAGATACTAAAGGGATACACACTTTTAGTATGTTATACCCGATTAAAATGGAAAAAGAAATATTCACCTGCTAATATACCCCACCCCCACAAAAAAAATTTATTAAAAAAATGAACGAGCGTCAACTTTTAGTGTTGTATTCTAATTGAGAAGCTTCATATCTTTTTTTATTTAAACTGGGACAAAATAAATCATTGGAATGACTAGTTTAATAATTATTGCACGTGTAAAATCAATTTAACTAAGATTATACTTCAATTTTATACCCACGGACTACACATAGAATATACAAATTATTTTGCTACACATGATCAAATGCACGCAATTGTATGCATTAATATAACCATAAAACCATCTTTTCCTCTTATCATTCAGTTCCGAAAACATACGAATGATCAGAGGTACCCATAATAGGTACCGTTGCCATTGATGAAAAACAACGATTCTTGTTTGATTTTTGTTTTCCCCAGAGTATGTAAAAATTCCATAATTGAAGCTGAATTTTCTTTTACCGTCTACTGCTCTTACCTACTAATGATGACAAAAAAACACACCATTTCAAAAAGTTTCAGAATTAAACTTCTACAGCACCCCCAACTGAAACTTAAGTGGATGGGGAAAGGATTTTACATTTTTCAGCTATTAAATTTGCACGATACACTCCATGTCAAGTGCTAGTTGCTTCCTAATGTGCACCAAGGTCGTTTTGCTGAGCTCATGGAATGTCAAAAAGAATTGATCCCAAATACAGCTAACATCTTGGTCTGCGGCAAAGTCTCCTCAACCGAACTCTTTCCTGGAAATGGTAAACAAAACATTAAAAACTTGTATGAAATGGTTAATGCAACCAAGAGCAGAATTAATATGGACCTCGCAGTTGTCATGTTCATATCGAATTAAGATGAGGCACCTACAACCTCTAATATCATGCATTCTCCTTTGGATCTCTACAATGTGAGCATCATAGTAAATTGCTTGATCTCTCCTCTCCTAAAATACAATTGAAATTGTCAAGTCATATACAGTGATGTCATGTAACAACACTACAGTGAGGAAATTCAGCCTAATTCACCTGAAAGCACAGGACAGAGTCTCCAACTTTCAGGTTGGAACACTCCGTGTTTTCAAAAGGAATAGAGCGTTGGCGAACTGAAGTTTTAATGTTGATCCACTCATCTTCCTCAGCTCCAAATCCAACAAATCTGACATGGACTTCCTTTAACAAAAGGCAATTGTCTCAGATGGCAAAATATTGTACATCTTATAGGTGAAAAATCAATTTATCAATCCAATATCAAGTTTTGCAGAAATACTTACAGCTTCCCCTGTGCTAAGAAATCTGTGAGCTATAAATGCCTCAACATCATACCTGCAGCAATATCTTTGACTTACAAACAAAATATTTGAAGTTTACATAATTGATTGAAACATGAATAAAATGCACCTCTATGCCTGCACTTCGACCATATTGCAAATTGTACAAAATTTAATGGGTAAAATATGTTTTTGACCTCTCTAAAATTTCTTAAGTTCGATTTTAGTGCCTCTAAATTATTTTGTCCTATTTTAGTCCCCTCTAAGTTGAAAATGTACTACTTTTGTTCCTCAAAATAATTTAAATGGCCTTTTATAACCACTTTTTGGGGCTATTTAAAGTATTTGGAATATTAAAAATGATACATTTTCAAATTAGACGGACTAAAACCGAATTTCAATAAATTTAGAGGGACTAAAAACATATTTATCCAAATTTATGGGAAGCAGGGCAGTATGAAAATTGGTCATTAATCTTTCAAATGTAAAAAATGCAAGATAGAGCAGGAATAGTGGAGTTCAAACCAAAAGGCAAAAATAAACTATACAAAACATTTCAGTGGGGAAGAAAGAATAGAGAAAAGAAAATAGGTACTAGCAACACAATCTTTTGAACACACTTTTTATTAGGGTATAATATGTTTTAGCCCCTCATTAGGGACTAAAAATGTGCATTTTGAATAAATACAGGGACTAAAAACGTATTATATTTTTTAGGGAAAATATTTTGAGATGAAAGACATTTTATCCCTTTTATTATTGAAATTTATTGAAAATATTTTTTTAGTAAATATCACTTCTCATTTAATAAGTCTTTCTTAACTTTGTAGTTTTCAATAAATTTTAACCAATAGTATGTGTTGCTAGCACTCCTCAACCCACAAATGTTAACCATTATAGTATTATGGTATAGATGGCCTAAAGTCTTTAAATATCCCTTTTCTAAAAGAAATAAAAAAAAATTGTTAGCTTAAATTTTTCAAGATGGAAAATTAAATTGATGATAGACAGGACTGTCTATGCACAAGAACCAAAAGCACCATTTTTTGTGTTTGTGAAAGAGCACCATTTACATAATTCATCTGCTAAAATCCACAAGAAACAGAAAACATCTCTTTATTAAAAAAGAGGAAAATCAATCATATTAGGAGAAGGAAAGTTGCTTGACAATGAGAAAGAAAAAAGAGAAATATTCGGATTATATAGACTAGTGGGGTTGAGGCACAGATTACTTAATAAAGTTGTTTAAAAATTACCAATGTTTGTTAAATCTATTGGTGTTATGCCTGGTTCTCAAACCTCAAGGTGTTGAATTCAAGTCTTGGATTTATAAGAATAGTTAATTAAATATTTTTTATTAATTTAAAAATTTAAGGATAAAATTGTCTAAAAAATGTGTAAACCAAATCAAGCTATCGCCTTTATATATGTTATAGATAATAGATACAAAAGCCTCCTGAATTTTTAGAATATCTATTACAGGAACTCCTATGCAAGTCCCATCTTCAGAATACATTAGAATGGAGCAAATGCACAAAGCATTTTTACCATACTAAAGATGAGAACAAAATCACTTATGAACACAATTCATACCATGCAGAATGTCTTTACATATTAATAATAATAGTATTAATTTACTAATAATAAGATAGCCAGAAGTGACATTGGTGCATCCATACTTAATTTACTTTTTCCATTCCATTATCAATGGGTTGTGAGTCTCTGATATTATAGCCAGAGCTAGAGGTTTAATCCATAATTGAAGACTTCATGCAACCTTTCTACAACATTATGGAATGCACGTCACGGGGACACATGATGAAGCTATCCCCTCCAAGGTAAACATTCCAATAAAGATAACCAGAATCTGTAGTTAGGATTATAATGCACATGTGGGTTTATAATATTGGGAAAGTGTGAACAAGCACCTTTTAGTGACATCAAAATTTAAAAATCTTCATAAGCGTTCATGATTTCTAAGAGAACTTAAGCTAACTGCTACACTGTGTATGTGCTTACCATGCTCCATCTTTTGATGATCTGGCTTCAAATTCCAACTCTGATGGATCTGGCATAATTTTCACTGCAAAGCAATCAGTTCAGGCACAAACTCACAAGATAAATACAAGTGTAGCAGCTAACTAAACAAAAAAAAAGAAAAGGAAAATAGAAAGTGAGAAAGAGCCTATGGAGTCACTTCCTCACCTTCAGTGTCATATTTTCTTCTACCAAACATGCTCCTAATAACATAAAGCAGCTTAACATAAAAGCCATAACTTGAAATAGGCAACCTACCATAACTTAAGCAACAATGATAGATGCTGCAAATATACTAAATAATCTAAGGTTGACAATTTGAATGTTTGAAGACATCATAGATCCCAGACACATCAAACATAAAAGGATAAAATTTAGATACAGTTTCCTTAGGTGCAGTTAGTGTTGTTCTCCAATCAGAATTGAAGTTTTACCTTAATAATATGCATAAATGTATATTAATAACACTTGCATTAAAAGCAAGAGCATATTACCAAAGTAAAATTCTAATTCTGATTAGAGAACAACACCAACTGCTCCTAAGGAACTATATGTTTTGTCCAATATAAAATAGGCAACCTACCATAATTAAAGCAACAAAGATAGATGCTGCAATTATATTAAATTAAATAATCTAATGTCAACCAATTGAATGCTTGAAGACAGCATAAGTAATGACTATGCTAAGAACCTAAAGGGATGCAAGAAGTCTCACCTTCCTTGCATTCAAGGCATTTAGGAACCATCATCAACTCACTGTTAGGGACTTGTGGTGAGTCTTGGAGCCTAGTCTGAAACCAACTTTCAATCTAAAATTTCCCGCAAAGTAAAGGAATAATTAAAAACTACTTAATAAAAGGCACATTGACAAATAAGTTCTCCAATATCAAGAAAAAAAAATGACAGTATTTGAAGGATGGAATACAGGAAATTAAGAAAATAAATTACACGAGTTAGTAAGAAAGAACATTAACCTCTGTCCATTTTATGACAGGCTTCCCAGCACGACCAGAGGATCGGCTGCAGAAACGTAACATTCCAATACTCCTCAATGACAATACTCATTTATTACTGGAAAATAAACCATCAACCATTGAAATGAAAACTCACTTGAAACTTCCAGCCAGTTTTTGGCAAAATTCCCTGCCAAATGATCCTACCTTAGATTCCCTTAACAATTTCTCCATTCTCTCAATCTGTTTGTCAGAGCACAGCAAGCTCAAATCAGTATCAGGACATGCTAAAACACACCCTCTATATTCTATAACCAAGGTTTTAAAGAATGGTCCGCGACCGCAATTTCAGCCACAATGCCAAGGTTTTTGGGTTTCTATGACTGCAATGCAACCACAATTATGGTCACCTTGGTCGCAGTTGTCAGTAATTTCCCGCAATATCAAGAAACAATAAAACCGCAACCGCGATTTCAGTGGTAATGTCAAGGTTTTTGGGGGTGCCTGAGACTGCAACGCGACCACAATTATGGCTGTCTCGGCCACATGTGTTTGTAATTTCCTGCAATATGAAGAAACGCGAGGCAATGAAACTGCAACCGGGACCCACAATTTAAAACCTTGTTCATGACCTTCATGCAAACACCATGATCAACGGTGGACAATCAACGTTGGAATCATCGAAGTAACACAACATCAAATACTAAAGACATAACGTGAAACATCCTTAAACCCGCGACCGTTATTAAACAAACAAACAAACTTAAAATTATAATCAAAAGCTTCTGATTCCAAACACAAAGGAACATATAGCACTTCATCTCGTCTTATAGGCATGAAAATGACATGGAAAAAGTTGAATAATCAAAATTGAAAACCCAAACCGATGCGATGGCATAACAATTATAATTATAATACCTCGGCATTTGTAAACCCAGAAAAGACCGCTCGGCTCCGAGGACGCAAGCGGTCCATGAACTTAAAGTTCGTCCCTTTCGTTCAAAAATCGACTTTCTTCATATTGAATTTCTTCTCTACAAACCTCAGGTGCAGTGAAAACCCTAGCAACTTTTCTTTATTCCGGGGGGTTCGCGTTAAAGGAAAAAGAAATGTAAATTAATAATAATAATAATAATAATAATAAGGCTTAATTGTATTTTTATTCTCTTGCAATCGTGCAATTTTGATCCCTAAAATTTTAATTGAGTAATTTTAACCCCTAAAAAATTATAATTGTGCAATTTTGGTCATTTAATTTTTAATTAAATAATTTTAATCTCTCAAATATCATAATTGTGCAATTTTAATCTCTCTCATTAAAAATTTAACAATTTTAATATATATATATATACAATATTTTAAAATTATACAATTATTTGTCTATTCAAGTTAATGCATATTATAATTTTCTTCAATGTATCAAATGATATATATTTATTTTTAATAAATAAACAAAATTTATATATTATTATTTTTATAATATTACTGATAAATTAATATACTAATAATATTATTCATATTAATTTACCAGTAATATTATAAAAATAATAATATATAAATTTATTTATTTATTAAAAATAAATATATATCATTTGATACAATGAAGAAAATTATAATATACGTTAACTTGAATAGACAAATAATTGTATAATTTTAAAATATTGTATATATATATTAAAATTATTAAATTTTTAATAAAAAAGACTAAAATCGCACAATTGCAATTCTTAGACTAAAATTACCCAATTAAAATTTTGGGGATCAAAATTGCACAATTACAATACTTTAGAAATTAAAAATACAATTAAGCCTAATAATAATAATAATATATTATCATTATTATTACTATTATTAAAAATAACAATGCATAGTAAAATTGTTATATTTATGAAATTTTGTTCCTCTATATAATTTTAAAAAAATAAAAATGCTGGATTTCTTTTACCAAAACTTGAGTATAATTTTTAGATGAAGCTGGTGCTTTTTTTAAATTAGAGTTAAAATTTTATTTTGGTATTATACATTTATATTTAACACATGCCTCGTTAGTATTCAGTAGGAAAAATATAATTTTTTTTTTATTGAATGTAAATTATTATTATTATTATTGAATATGATAGTGGTGTTGTGAAGTTCATGCACTTATATTTATGTATTTTAAAATCAACTCTTATATATTAAATATAAAATATGTTAAAATATTTTTTAGAGTATTTCTTTAATGAGAGGTTTGTATGAATTCTTTTAACTTCTTATTTAATTCAAATTTTATTTATCATAATTATTTATAAATTAAATGTTAATATTTTAAAATAAGTTATCAATAAATAAAAATAATTTTATATTATAATATAAATTATTTATTATAAATCTATTTATATATTTAATAATATCTATTTATTTAAATTAAAAATATACTTTATATATTTAAACATAATATTCTTTATGTATAATTTATATGTTTAATATATATATATATATAATTTATTATAAATTTTAATATGTACTTCTATGCTAATAATAAAGAAAATATCTCATTTTGACATATATAATATTTCAACTATTTTATCCTTTTAATTTCTATATTATATCTCATTTTACCCTTTAAAACTTTACAAAAACAGATTCTAATTATTAATAACAAATTATTATTCAATGTTAATTCATTATTTTATTTATATTTTTTTTATATTCAAAATACACGAAGACACGAAATATTTTTTTACCCTAGTCTTTATTATAATAAAAGGAAAGAAGTTTGTGATTCTTTTTTCTTGCTCAAAATAAGGGTAATTATGTAATTTTATCTTATCATAATTATTCTGAATTTTATTAATTATTTTAATAAATTCTGAAATTAAAAAAAAAACCCCTTCCTCTTTCTCTTTACTTTATATAAAAGAAAAAATCCTCTTCCTCTCTGCTTTATACGTTTCCCATCAAATTGTTTGCATTTTGTCTTCCACTCAGAGAAACAATTATGAATATTTATTTCCTATGTATTGGTTGCAGCTTTTCAATGCTAATTAATCTCAATTATCCTTTAATTTTTAAAGTATTTTTCTTTAAACTTCATTCTGATTGTCCAGTTTCATCATACTCCCTATTTTTAAAAATACTCTCTCCATATATACATTGTTCACTTTCTGATTTGGGTACTTTTGTACTTCTAATATGAGGATTCACACTTTCTCTATCAATCATAGGAAAACTATTTTTAGGTAAGCTTATATGAAGTTTTAATTTTAAAGGTTGGTTGTTTCAATGTTGATGTATAGTGAACATATTATTAAAAGTTTTATCTTTTTTTACTTTCATCTTCTTTTTAAAGGACATGGCTCAGAGGTTTACATTACTAAAGGACATTGCAGCGGGAAGAATTGACTAGAAGATAAGAGTTCGTATAATAAGATTGTGGAGGTTGCTAGAGTTTAAGAATCCATTGCAAACAAATTCCTTAAAGATGATTTTGGTGGATGAAGAGGTTTTTTTTTCTTCATAAATTATAACGATTATAAATTTCATTGTTTGATAGTGTAGTTTTTGTTTTTTATTTTTGTTTGAAATTTCCATCTTCACAAAAAAAAAACATGATTAGTAAAGATATTGTTTTCAGAATCAATTACAATGAGTCAATAATCTTAGTAAGGACATTGATAAATTTTTCTGCACGTATGCTATTTTTTAGAAGCTAATGTATTTTTTCCTTTATTCTTTTAATTATTTTTACCTATTATAATTCAAATAACCTTATTTTAAAACAAATGAAATTAGTCTGATTCAAATCTTTCAATTTTTTATTTTTAACCAAATCCTACAACCCAATATCTTTTTTTTAAAAAAAACTTACCATCACTTTTGTATGTACAAATCATTTTGTTTAAGGCTAATTATTACAATAGTCATGTTGTATTCTTGCATTTTTAGTTGATAAATTTCTATGTAGTGTTGCTAGATTTTTCCAATTTGACCTTTCTATTTTGCTGTCAACTCGTTACATGTCCTTCACCTCAATTTTTTCTTATTCAATTCAATTAAGATGTGAAATAATATTTTTAATCAATTTGTTCCCGTTGTGTTGTTGACTTTCTACCAATTCTACATTTTTAGTCTTAAACTTTTCGTAACTTCGTAACTCTATCATATTTCCTTGCATTTGAGATAATAGTTATATTGATTTATGCATTTCCTTTAGAATAAATGAGAATATAGGTGATATTTCATAAGTTATTATGTTGTATTGATTTAGGGAGTAGTTTTATTTTTTTATTGTGTTATTATTAAATGTTACATTTATTTTAAATTTCTGTTTTATGTTTTCAATTTCATTTTGAAGGCCAAATAATTTCTGTTATTTGGTTTTCAATTATATGTGATGCATCAACTTCTTATTTAATTTTAATTTAATGTCTAATTTCGTAATATTTAATAATCAGGATGAAAGGATTCATGCATATGTTAAAAAAAAATCTTGAAAATTTTCAAAGATTGTTGAAAGAAGGGCGTACTTATGTAATGGAGAATTTGTTAATTGTTGAAAATCGAATGAAGTTTAAAACAACCACCAACGAATTTAAGCTTGGGTTTATGCAAAACACCAAAATTGCTGAAGTTGAGGTTGAAAATATTCCTTTACATTCATTCACGGTTGTACCATTCCCTGATATACTTGCAAGATCAAATGAGTTTGTGTTAATGGGTAAGTTATTATTCAACATGTTGTTTTGACGAACTATTTATGCTTAAATGTTATAGTCTTATTAAATAGTTTAATTTTTATTTAAATTTTAATTTAGATGTAATTGGTTATGTCGTACAGCGATATGACCTTAAGAAATCTGACAAAGGTGGAAAAACAAGTAAACTTATGGAGGTGGTGCTTGAAGATTTGGAGTAAGTTTTTATACTATATTTCATTTAGTGAATTTTCCCTTAATTACAATGCATTTAATTGATTGTATGTATCTTATAAATGATGCTACTCATTGTAGTCATTTGTTTTATTTTACAAGTACAACATAACATTATCTTTAAAATATTTACATTCATTGCAGGAGTAACAAACTTATGTGTACTTTGTGGGATGAATTTGCTGCTACAATGGATGAATTCCTTTAAAAAAAACACAAGTAACAATGTTGTAATTATTATATTGCAACTATGCAAGCGAAATGTTTTCAATTGTATGCATTCTGAAACTAATCTTTTTTTAGTTTTCAATTTGTATATAAAGCATAGATAACCAACTTATTTGCTTTAATTATTTTAAGGGAAAAATGGTGTCTATAATTCTTACAACAGTACCAAACTTCTCATTAATCCGAACATTAAACATGATTTGGAGTATAAAGAAAGGTCACATTTTCTTTAACTTGAAAAACTATTTAATGCATGGTCAATTTTTTTAATGTTGTATAAGAAGTACTCTGTTATTTAAGTGTTTTGATATTTTTTCATAGGTTGAACAAATGTGATTCTACTATGAGTCATGGTGTTAATCATACTTCTATGTTCTTGTAAATGCGACGAATGACAATTTCTAATATTGTTGATTGTGTTCAAGTTTTGTTATTTTTAAATATTTTTTTTTTGCAAATTTTAATAAATATATTTAATCATTAAATTTATTCTTTCTAAAATATTAAACCCTTATTATTATGTAATTAGTCATGTTATTGCACTGTTATGGGAAAAATTATAGAAATTGATGAGCACAAAGATTGACATTATAATTCATGCAACAAATGTGCGAAAAAAGTTATCAATCTTGGAAACAAGTATTTTTGTAAACATTGTGAGAAGATTGTTGTTGGAGTCACTAGGTATAATCTGAAACTTATGTATATTAAAAAAATATAATATGATATTTTAGCATAATGCATCTAATTATCTCTTTTAATTTTGTTACATAATTTATGTATTTAACCTTCAACTTTTTTTGTGCCCTCAAAATTTGTTAGATTCATGTTGCATGTCACTGTCATTAATGACACTGGTTCCACAAATTTTGTCATGTTTAACCATGTTATCACATTGTTTTTGGGAAAGTCTGCTACTGAAATGAAGGAACAACATGAAAAGGTTGTCAA